CAAGTATGGTCAGTTGTCTCCCTGCATCTCTCTTATGACATGTACTCCTTTCTCCCTTTTACCCCAGCTTGTATTCACATATCCTGTGTCACTCACAAGAGTGAAGCAGAGAGGGGAAATGAAGGTTTGGTTCACATGTCCATCTTCCCTAATTCTCAGCACCAAACCTTTCCTATTGGGGATACCACCATCTGCATGGCCATCCAACTCTAATAGGCATATGATATTTCAAATGAGGCAGATCATCTAAAGGGTCAAGTTAGAACCTGCTGACAATCTTTTCCTGGGAAAACCAAATAGGCTCTCATGGACTCCCAGCCTTAGTTCAAGGAATTTTAATTCATCTCTTCTGTGCTCAGAGAAGAAGAAATGGAATTCCTGCCTTCATAGCCTCCCGTTTAGTTTCTTCACAATAAATATCAGACCAACTACCTGAAGTCGCCTTTCCCCAGGTCCCAAGCTGTGGGGTGACAGACCACTTTCTGGCCATCTCCTGGTTCAGTTAACATGGAGTTTTCCCAGAATCCTTCAGTCATTTTAGGAAGGCCAACAGACACAAAGAAATTCTCTGCCTCCTTGAATATCCTGTCTGCATCCCAAGCCTGGGAGAAGAAAAAGAACAGTATTTAATCCAGCATTGAAATGACAGCATTCTTTCTGTTGGACATATACATTGGCATAACCTTTCCAAAAGGCAATTTAGCAATAGTGTTTGAAAGGTTTACACTCTTTGTCATAGTGATCCTGTCTCTAGGGAAATAACCTAGGAAGTTACCAGAAATTAGATCAAAGAATTTCACTGAGCATGATTTTTAATAGGGAAGCAATCATCAGAGTGGTTAAGTAAATAATACTTTTGTAGAATGAAAAAAACTGTGTGGTCACCCAAACTATACTTAAAGAATTTTATTGATGTTATAAAATATTTTTAATAGTAAGTAAAATATAAAAGCCACTCATGTGGTATTAATGAGGAAATATATGAAAATGTTAATAGTAGACTGGATGAGATTGCATGTGATAGTTTTCTTCTTTATTGTTGTTGCTGGGTTTTGCAGTGCTGGGAATCGAACCCAGTCTCACACATGCTAGACAAGTGCTCTACCACTGAGCCTATATTTATCCTTTGTATTCCAAGCGCAAAGGAAAAAACAATGACCTAGTTACTAGAGACTATTCAACTCTAGTCAGCATTAGTTGATTGAGCTCCTTCAGGGGTCAAGGCCCATTTAAAGTTGGTGGAAGACACAAGCAATAAGGTGGACATGAAGGTGCGGGCTTTTGGAAATAAAAGGCCCATATGAACTTGGGCCTTGGCTTCATGATGTACATGGAGTCTGAATTTTCAGAATGTTTTGGAATTGGAGAGACAGCCATAGGTATCTGCCACCGAGCAAACTTTTCTTGAAATGAATGTCTCAAGAGATGACGAAGCATGCTTAGGCAATAAAACCCACTCAGGCAAACTAAGTTCTGTATAGTTGGCAGATAGTTCACAAATCATTTTTAGTAACACAGAAAACTTCCTCTGATCTTGAACAGCCGCCAAGTTTAGCTTTTTTTTTTCCTATGTCAACTCTGGGAATAAGAAACAGAATATGAAACTATGGGTTTTTTGTTATTGACTTTTAAAGGCTTAATGTTGTGCTGGAGATGTAACTCAGTGGTAAAGCACTTGTCATTATGTACAAGACCCTGGGTTTGATCCCCAGCACTGCAAAAACTGGGGGGGGGGGCGCTTAATGTCAGGCAAGTTTTCAATTTTCAGTTTTAATTAATTTTTAACTAATACATAAAGACATTAAAATGTGCATTTTTCTTTTCTTGGCAGTACTGGAGAATGAATGCAGGGCCTTGTACCTGCTAGGCAGGTGCCCTACCACTTGAGCCACTCTGCCAGCCCACCAGCCCACCTTTTTTTTTTTCTTTTGGTTATTTTTGCGATAGAGTCTCTATGCGTGGGCTAGCCTGGACCACAATCCTCCTATTTGTGCTTTTCCAAATAGCTGGAATAACAAGTGCATACTACCACACCCAACCATTAGTTGAGATGGGGTTTTGCAAACTTTTGCCCAGGCTGGCCTCAAAGTACAATCCCCCTGATCTGTGCCTCCTAGAAAGCTAGGATTACAGGTGTGAGCTACTGAACCTTGACAAAAGTGTACATATTTCTGGTGTACCATGTGATGTTTCAGTAGAAGGATACACTGTATAATGTCCACATTGGGGTAAACACATCTATCCCCTTAAACATTATCATTTTGTTTTGTATGTGTGGTGCTGCAGATTAAACCTGGGGTCTTGCACATGCTAAGCAAGTAAAAACCTAGCCCTTTTCATTTCTTCATGGCAAAAATATTTGAGCTATTTTCTTCTAGCTTTTTGAAATACACAGTACATTATCAGTATCTACAGTCTATGCAATAGCACACCAGAAATTCTTACCTAATGATAACTTAGTCCCATCCTTCTCTCCTCCATACTCTCCCCAGCCTCTGGTAACCACCTTTCTTCCCTCAACTTCTAGGAGATCAAGTCTTTAGCTTCCACATGAGTGAGATCACGTGGTACTTGTCTTACTGTGCCTGGCTAATTTCACTTAACATAAAGATCTCCAGCTCAATCTATGTTGTCAGAAATGACAGGAATTCATTCTTTTTATGGCTGAATAGTATTCAATTGTGTATGTGTGCCACATTTTCTTCATCCATTCATCAGTTGCTGGGCACTTAGGTTGTTTTGTGGCTATTTTGAACAGCACTGCAAGAAACATGGAAGTGAGGATGTCTCTTCAACATACTGATTTCATTTCCTTCGAATATATACCCAGCAGTAGGATTGCTGGATCATATGGAATTTATATTGTTAATTTTTTTAGGAAGCCTCATACTATTTTCCATAATGGCTACATTAATTTGCATTCTTAATAACAGTGTGCAACAATTCTCTTTGCTCTACATCCTCACCAGCACTTGGTTTTGTGTGTGTGTGTGTGTCTTTTTTTTATCATAGCCATTCATACTGGAGTGAAGTGATAGCTCACTGAGGGATTCCTGATGTTTACTGATATTGAGAATTTTTAATATAGCTGTTGATCATTTGTATGCCTTCTTTTGAGAAATGTCTACTTGGGTGTATGGCCCATTTTTATCAGGTTATTTGATATTGAGTTTTAGAGTTTCTTATATATTCTGAGTATTAACTCATTGTCAAATGTATGGTTTTCAAATATTTTCTCCCCTTTTGTGTGTTGTCTCTTCACTGTGCAGTTTGCTCCCTTTGTGGTGCAAAAGCTTTTTATTTTTATGCAATCCCTTTTGCCTATTTTTGCTTTTGTTTCCTGTGCTTTTGGAATCTTGTCTGAAAAATGTTTTCTTCTAGTCATAGTTTCATAGTTTCAGGCCTCACATTTAAATCTTTCATCAACTTCGGATTGATTTTTGGAATTGGTGAGAGGCAGGAGTCTAGTTTCATTTTTCTACATGTTATACCCAATTTCCCCATACATTTTGTGAAAAGACTGCCCTCTCTCCTATGCATGTGCTTAGCACCTTTGTTGAAAGTCACTTGACTATAGATGTGTGTGTTTCCTTCAGGGTTCTCTATTCTGTTCCATTGGTCTATATGTCTATTTTTATAACAATATCTTGCTGTTTTGATTATTATTGCATTATAGTATATTTTGAAGTCAGATAGTGTAATGTCTCCTGCTTTGTTCTTTTGCTCAAGATTGCTTTGGCTATTTGCAAGATTTTGTTTGTTTGTTTGTGGTTCCATATAAATTTCAGGATTGTTTTTAATATGACTTTCTTAAGCAGAATGAACAAAATAGTGCAGACAAGTAAACACAGTGAACATTTGTTGAGTGAAGAATGGATTACTGAATTAATGAGTGAGTAGAAAAACAGACTGGAAACATTAGAAGTTGTGAGTTCAGTTGCTAGTCACCACTGACAAACTTTGTGTCTTTGGGCGAATCATTTATCTGAGCCTTAATTTTCCTCACTTTCAGCATGGAACTCTCACAATAGTTTTCCTGACAATCTTATAGACAGCATTAGAAGAGGTGGTGGATGTGAAATCACTTTGGGAAGGCTAAGGATTGACATAAGAATCGGAGGCCTTGCAGCTTTGAGTTGTAGTTCTGCTATGAACTTTTCTGAGGAGCGTGTTATGTGAAGATTTTTCACTGCAATACTACTTACAGTTTAAAACTACTAACAAGCAAAGGTTCAGCAATGCATAAATGATAAATCGTGTGACCATCTGAATAAATTCTATAAGATGAATGGGAGTACAATTGTTAATTCTACACGGAAATGTAGAATTTAACTGAATAAAGAAAAATACATACCTAAAATTAAAATTTCATCCATGGAAGGGAACATGGGGAATTTAAACAATTATACTAAGATGATTACGAAAGGGGAATTCAAATGATCTTTATGCTACTTTGATAACAATGATTTTTAAGTATGAAAAAATATTATATTCTTGTTTGTTACTATTCAGACTTTACTGACTGATTACTTAGCAGCAAGATCAATAGCATACATATTATTCAATGTCGCTGACATTGTAAATACTTTTCTAGGAAAATATATAAGAAGTACATTTAAATTATCTTGAATTTTTATTAACATGTTTTCACAAACCAAAGGTAAGAACAGAGGATGGCATAAAAATAAAGTGAATAATTTAGAATGTTTTTAAGGTCCTCTTCTTCCTACCTGCATCACCATTGCATCAGTAACATCTATGTTTGGTTTCTGTCCAAAGGGAACTACCAAAGGGTACAGATTTGTCCAAAATCTACCCCACATATCACCTATTTTAAAAAAAAGAATATGTTAATATATGAGAAAGACAGCAAAATATAGACCTGATCTTACATAGTACATGAAGTTGGATTGGTAAGCAAGTCACTCAGTATTTCTAAACAGTCTAGTTTCTGTGCTTCCTTTTCACTAATTTTTTTTTGCTTTTTTCCTTTTCTTACTTTAAATTTCCAGCATTTTCTTCTTCTAACACCTCTAAGAGACTATGTGGTTAAGCAAAACTAACCCAGTTTAGCTAGGGAATCATTCCAGTTTCTCCTATCTTGAGTTACTATTCAAAAGCACAATTTATTAAATATATTTAATTTATAAATAATAAATTTATTTATTAAATATATGGAATAGTATAGCTACTACAGGTTAGAAAGAGATTACATAATTCACCATCCGTGGGACAAAATGCTACAAATTACACTATTAGTAATGCTTCATATGGGTTACAAAATTATCACATATGATCATCATTCAAAAAACTAGTAACTAAGTTTCACTTTTATTCTATAGTACTACACTTAACTGGGTAATCTGTCGAGCATCTCCAACAGTGTAAGGTTGAATTTCAAGGCCACAGACCCCAAAAGGGAACATGTGTCTAGAAAAAGCCAATCTCCTAATAAAACCAGAATCCTGGCACCAAAGAAATGAAGCAACACAACTACATGAAGAATATTTCTATGAGTTCATTTTTTAAAAGATAAATTTTAATAGAGATAAATGTGAGTCCTATGGTTAAATTTTTTAAAAAATTTATACACTATAAAACTTAAACACTATAAAACTTATACACTATAAAACTTATACACTATAAAACTTAAACACTATAAAACTTATACACTATAAAACAGCCTGATGTCATATATATACATATATATATGACATCAGGCTGAAACACAGTCTACAGTAAAAGACCAAAAGTACCCCAACAAACAGTATGGTATGGTTTCTAAAACACAAACATGAACTTCAGCTAAATTGATAAAGTGATAGTGTCTAGAACAAAGACAGGCATGATACCATTTTTTCCTCTCTGTTGGTTCAGCTCCATCTGGAATAACTGTTCAGTTTTGACCTTGACAATTGAAAAGGAACATGGGCAAAATATAGTTAACCCAAGGGAGGACAATTAGATAAGTGGGATTTTAAGGAAAAATATCAGTGTAGGATATTTAACTTGAAAAAAGAAAAGTGTATATTTGATGATGACTAATAGTCACTAAAATGTAATGTGCTGCATCTTATATGATGGTTATTTACATATATATATAAGATCATCTTGTATAAAAAATTAGCATATTCTGAGTAACCTCATAGCATGGAAACAGTAATGAGTAGAAAGTAATAAGGTAGACCTTTCTTATAATTGGTGCCATGTAGCGATAGGTTAGTCTACTATTTCTAGTCTCATTTTCATCTGGAATTCTTTCTCTAGTTATCATTAGAAATCCCTTTATCTTTTCAATTGTAGCCAACATGAAAACTCTTTATGTGTAAAAATAATGATGCAATAGAGAATGATTTAAAATTGACTTACTGTTGAAGAGTGTGTTTTCAAAATGAGATTTCCATAGGGCACTGACTTCATTTACTGGTTTTTTCTTCAAAAGTTTTATGTTGGGTATCACTCCAAAAGATCATTTAATTGATAGAAATGACTAAGATGACAAAGAACACAAAGGATTCCTGGGGTTTCTTACCAAGCAAATGAGCAGGGAGGCATCCAGTTGGATTGATATGGGAAGGGTAGGTATCCATCAACTTTGTTCTCACATAGGCATGAAGATGTTCATATAATGGTTTAATCTGAAAAGACCAGGAAGAAAGTTTAAGACCACAAGTAGCCAGTCACCCAACTCTAAAAACAAGAGCTTCTTTATATAAGTAGGATTTCTCTGAATTGTTTCTTCTCCTCTCAAATATTCTGGAGAGTTTGAAAGCATTCCTTTTCCACATGTACTGATGATGACTAGCACCACTGCACAAATCAATAAAAATACCTGGAGGAATGCACATCCCAAAATGAAAGAAGTTGCAAAAAATTCATATTTAAGATGTTACCTACTTCTTTTGTCATAGAAATCTCTTCCCTATAAAACACATCCTTAAGCAGAGGCTAATGAAATAATTGTATCTGTCATCTTAAGAAAGAAAGCAGTGTCTATGGTTCTGATAACAAAGGAAAATAGTGCTATTTTCCAGGTACCTTATGAAAACCATTCCTTCTTATAATCTAAAAAGTCATTCCTTCTTAAAATGTTTCTATTGGTAATTACTGGTCAATGACTGAAAGAGAGAGGAAACCAGAACAATTCTGATATCGTTCTCAAAAATCTTAAGCTCTAACATTCTATAATTCTATGATGCCTGGCCAACCTACATATTAAAACAATCCAGAAATGCGTTTGGCCATTGTCCCTCCTTCCTGTTGCTGCCTTACAGTTCGTCGGTTACCTCTGCAAAGATGCGTTCCACATCTTCAATCAACTGGTTGTGGTTATAGTCATAGCCATCTGCTCCCTCTGCTTCATAATCTGATCTCCAATAATCGCCATAATCCTCATAACCTGTTTCGTAAAAAAAGGAAGAAGAGAACATAAGGGGAAAGAGTGATAGAGAATACAGTTTATATAGATTAGCCTTGTTGGGAAGCTAAAAGAAACCTGAGGACTAGAGGTGTATCTCAAGTGGTGGAGCACCTGCCTAGCAAGCAAAGGTCCAGTACCACAATAAAAAAAAAAAAGCCCTGCAAAAAGATCACATTTTATTGCCATTTCAGACATAAACTCAAGGGGATGCAAATGAATGAAAAGACTAGCTAATTCTGTTAAGCACTTGTTCTGTGTAAGGAGTTTAAATATATTATCTCATTTAATAAGCACAAAACACATTCCAGGTTGTCATCATTATAACCAGCATTGCACAGATTAATAGCCTGTGATTGTTTTTAAATAAATTTATTGTGAACACTTAAGATTATACAACATGATGCTGTGACATACATATGTAGCAAAATGTTTATTATAGTGAAACAAATTAGCATATCCATCATCTCACATAGTTACCATCTTCCCCTGTGTGGCAAGAGCAGCTACAATCTACTCATTAACAAAACTCTTGAATACAGTAGAATAGTATTATTAACCGTAGTCTTATGTTGTCCATCAGTCCTTCAGACTACCTATCTGCTACTTTACATCCTTTGACCAATAGATCCCCATTTCTTCCCACCCCACTCTCGGTAACCACAATTTTATTCTTTTTCTGTGTATTTGACCTCTTTATAAAGATTCCACATATAAGTGGGATCATGCATGCAGTATTTCTTTCTCTGTCAAACTTGTTTTACTTAGCATAATGTCCTCCAGGTCCCTCCATGTTGTAGTAAATGGCAGGATCTCCTCCATTTTTAAGGCTGAATAATACTCTATATATGTATTATATTATATATATATATATATATATATATTCTACAGTTTCTCTGTTCACTCATTCATTCTTGACAGTCACCTAGACTGTTTCCAAATCTTGGCTATTATGAATATAGGAGGGTCCTATGGTAGTTCCATTTTAAATTTCTTTAGGAATCTCCATACTGTTTTCCATAATAACTGTACCAGTCTACATTCCCACCAAAAGGCCGTGCTTAGAGTAATTAAATCACTTGTCCAAGGTCACATAGCTGGTGAGAGGCAGAGGCATACTTCTGGTTTCCTAACACTGGGTTTTTACTCTCTCTCTAGGCCAGTTTGTATTACTGACCTTAAAACATGAAATTGAATCTCTAAGGTTTTTAATTCTCATTTGTTCAGCACCTTAAATTTTCAGATTTGACCCACAGTGGATGTGTTTGTTTACAGATTACGTGTGTACACAATGCATTTCTGTGTGCTTCATTTAACATCTAACCATTAGGACGCAAGTTAGTGTTAGGTAGGGTATTAGCTAATAAATTTGGTAAGTGTGTTTTAATCATTTTTATTTTTACATTCACATTGTCAATGGATGATCAGGAAGATTACAAAATTAATATTTGGATAGAAGAGTATGCAGGGTATTAATAAAAATTGATGATATGCTACTATCTGCAACTTGCCTAAGACTTGCAAACATGAGTTTAAATGACAGTGAAAGAAACAAGAACCAACAAATGAAAAAAATTTTCCTAACAAAACCCAGAGGGCAGTGAATCACCAAAGCATAAAGTTATTCATAATACCATGACTGCAGTTCATTATTAAGGCAGTAGAGTAAGTTAAGAGATATGGAAATTCCTTCTTATGTTTTTTTATGACTACATGAATTATAACTGCCGAAAATAAAAGATTTCTAGCCTACACTAACCTGAAGTTTTTTTCTTCTGACACATCACCCTGAGGTAGACACAAAATGACCTTTGAGAATGAACAGTGGCCAGATGAGGGTTTAGGTAAGGGGTATTGTCTCTATCTCTTGTCCTGTCTGAGAAATAGGGTCTCCAAGCAGATTCCCCCAGGCACTTTTGGGAAACTCTTACTTAACTCACAAGTCCTGGCTAATTCATTTAAGACCTTATGATTGAATCTCATTCTTGAACTCTTTAGACTATAGCGTTCCCATGCACTTTCTTAAGCCCCTGTAGTTTCTTCTTGAGACATGTAACCCTGATTGTTACCAATTGCTAATTTAGGGGCATCTGTTAAAGAGCAGGCATGAGAAATGGAATACTTGAGAAATAGTCCCGTGGCCCATAGAGAGCTGCAAGGCCTCCACAGACCAGCAAATTTACCATTTGCTCTTGCCATCTCATTTTTCAGGACCACATAATCTTCATACAATGGTCTCAACTGCTTGCCAACCTCAGACCGCCAGCCTTCCCAAGCCCAGAGCCTCTCACTGTAGTCTGTGCTCTTCTCCATTATGTCATCCAAACCTGTTCCAAAGCACCCAAAGGAAAACAAACATAAATTTTTAAAACTTTTATGTTGTAAGCAACTATAGGAACTTTAAAGAATTAAAAGTAAGGATGGCAGACCTCAAAGTTAGGAAGTTATTAAGTGAAATCTTGTGAATAACTTGCCTTTACTATTGGTCAAAATATGTCTGCAGAGAAAACAGACCACCGGAATTTAATTACTAACTTGAATGTGATAGAATTTACAATGTGATTTCTTTTTAAGTTATTAAAGCATCTATGTACTGAAACACACATATTTGGAATCTTATTTTTGGAGTCTCTATTCAAAAAGCTCCGTGTCATCATATAAAGTCAACCTCATTCTTTGAAGTTAGGAGTAAAAAATAAATTTCATAATCACTACTCAAAGTTTATAGCCTACCTGGTTCAAGCAAAAAGCACTCCTGTGGATTATCCGGGTTACAAACCTTTCCAGTACTATAGATGGTGCTCATTGTACTTAGAATTGTATTTAACTGCAAATTAAATATAATAAATAATGTTAGAAATGGGAAATTTTCTAAAAATAATGCTAATATTAAAAAGTCCTTTGGTAGGAATGGGACACAGATTACTCCAGAGGCACCTGCACACCCATGTTTATTGCGGCACTATTCACAATAGACAAGTTATGGAAACAGCCAAGATGCACCGCCACTGATGAATGGATTAAGAAAATGTAGTATTTATACGCAATGGAATTTTATGCAGCCATGAAGAAGAACAAAATGTTATCATTCGCTGGTAAATGGATGGAATCGGAGAACATCATTCTGAGTGAGGTTAGCCTGGCCCAAAAGACCAAAAATCGTATATTCTCCCTCATATGTGGACATTAGATCAAGGGCAAACACAACAAGAGGATTGGACTTTGATCACATGATAAAGCGAGAGCACACAAGGGAGGTGTGAGGATAGGTAAGACACCTAAAAAACTAGATAGCATTTGTTGCCCTCAACGCAGAGAAACTAAAGCAGATACCTTAAAAGCAACTGAGGCCAATAGGAGAAGGGGACCAGGAACTAGAGAAAAGGTTAGTTTGAGAAGAATTAACCTAGAAGGTAACACACACGCACAGGAAATCAATGCGAGTCAACTCCCTGTATAGCTATCCTTATCTCAACCAGCAAAAACCTTTGGTCCTTCCAATTATTGCTTATATTCTCTCTTCAACAAAATTAGAGATAAGGGCAGAATAGTTTCTGCCGGGTAGCGAGGGGTAAGGGGGGGTAAGGGAGGGAGTGGGGGGGGCTAGGGTGAGGGCGGGGGTAAGGGGGGAGAAATGACCCAATCATTGTATGCACATATGAATAAAATAAAAAATTTTAAAAATCGTATGTTCTCCCTCATATGCAGACTTTAAATCAAGGGCAAACACAACAAGGGGATAGGACTTTGATTACATGATAAGGCAAGTGCACACAAGGGAGGTATGAGGATGGGTAGGTAACCCAAAAAAAAAAAGATAGCATTTGATGTCTTCAATGCAAAAGAACTAATGCAGAAACTTTAAAGCAACAGAGGCTAATAGGAAAAGGGGACTAGGAACTAGAGAAAAGGTTAGTTGGAGAAGAATCAATTTAGAAAGTAACAAATATTCACATCTTTGCCATGTATTTTCCTGCATGTAGGGCAGGAACACATTTAAGTTTTTCCCACTGTCAGCTAGCACAAAGTCTTATGAGCACATCACAGATATGTAGAGTAATTGAAATAAAAAGATATATCCAAATTCCAAGACTGTTTCTCACCTACACACAAAGAAGTGCATTTTTGTTTTATTCAACATTTACTGAATCTCTACTCTTAGCTACACTCCGACATTTCTGAAATGGACAAGTCACTGACCCTCAAAGACCCCAAAGTGATGGCACAGTGAGGTAGTTACAAAATCAGTAACCACATGACAGAGTGATAAGTACTATAACTGTCACCAAAAAGTGATGTGGCAGTATTGGCTAGGGGTTGATGGAAGAGGGACTTAAAACCTGCAGATTCAAGAATGGCTTCATACTGGGAACCTATTTGCAAACAATGCTGATACCATTTAGAAATATGTGCACTACCTAAGTTTTGTCTTTTGAGAAAAACCATTCACCTATAAAAAATTACTTTGACAAAAAAAGTTCTGGTTTGATTAATCATTTTTCTTCTTTAAGTGCTGAGTGTATGCAAGGTAGATCCTTGATGAGCCAACATTGCTCTGTGGATACATGTCTATGTTCACACACTTCTAGAACAGAAGGAGCTGTATACAGAAATATTGTTTTGCAGCAATATTTACAAAACATGCAAACTTCTGTATTTGTATTTGGAAAAATAAAACAGGTTTTTGTTGCTAAAAAGAAAAGAATGGCTTCAAAGAGGATGGGGACATTAGAGCTGTGTGTTGCAGAAGCAGGAATGGGTCCATTAGAAAGGGGAAGTAGAAGGCAGAGTTTAAGATGATTGGAAAAACATGGCATTTTCAAGGGGTGGTGAGACATCAAATAAAACTGGAGTGATAGTGTTCATTGAGGGGATCGGAGGACGTGAAATGGGTAGGCAAGGGTAGATCATGAGAGACAGTCTATGCTATAATAAAAATTTAAATTTTACCCTGTAGGTAAAAGGAAGTGAAGGTAACAGAATAAGGCAGTGCTGCTGGACATGGAGTCCATGGGTCAGTGCAAGTCAGCAAAGGATCTGTTTTCATTTGGTAATAAGTACAGGAATTAAGAAAATAAATGTTTACCAACTTTTTTAAACAACTTTCTATTTCCATGACATCTAAGTATTTAATCAGTGAACTTAACCACGTATTGATCTGTGATGGATTGGAGACAAAGGAATAAAAGCGAGAGAAATGGAAGAAGAGAAGGAAGGGAGGGAGACAGGAGGGAGAGGCTGGTTTTCTCTCACAAATGATTTAAGAAGTACTGTATTAAAGGCCCTGTTTCTCTTTCTCCTAATGCCCTCATATTATTCTTTCACTTTGCTATAGTCACTATCCTAAAACGTGAACTAGATCCAATACTCCAAGCCAATAAATCTAAGCTTCTTACCTTGGCACCCACCCTCTATCATTCCTTCTATCAAACCCGTGCATCCTGAGTCTCCTCTCTTCTCAAACACTTCAAGCTCTCACTTGCATCTTAGTGATTTTCAGTCCTGGCTACACATTATAATTAATCTGGGAATCTTTAAAAAATGGAATGTCTAGATTCTACCCTAGGCTCTCTAGAGTTAGACAGGCAAGGTTTCTCACGATGTCCTTGTGAAAAAGATGGAGAAACATGGAATGGATAAGATAAACTGGATTAATAGCTAGTGGGATAATTATAACCAAAGAATGAAGAATAATAAATATCAACTTGTAGAAACAAATGCCATATGGCTTTATCTCTGTCCTTATCATGCATTTTTATTTTTATAAATGCAGATTAGTATATACAGAATTCCAGAAGACAAGTAACTGAGAAAGAAGACTTTGATGTGAAATAGCTGGGTATTTTAGATAAAAATATTTCAATAGGCTACATCAGGGGTCTGCAGACTATGGTCTGCTGACTATTTTTGTCAAGTTTTGTTGGATGACAGCCATATCCATTCATTTATGTATTATCTATGGCTGATTGCCTGCTACAATGGCAGAGGTGATGAGTTGTGACACAGACAGTATGTCCTCCAAAACCTAAACTATTTACTGTATGTCCTTTTCAGAAAAAAAAAAAGCTTGCTGACTTCTGGGATAGAGGGATGGGTTGGAATGGTATGTTAATTTAACAGGGGAAATACAGGCTTTCTTGAATTTGAACAAACTATCTCAGGATAGAATTCTTAACGTGCCATTTTACAGCAATGTTGGTACGACAGCTTTGAAGACTTCATTAACATGAGCCAACCACAGCATTTGGCTATCAAAAAAACAAAATGAAAATCAATCTAATATAGTCTTAGACTGCCTTTGTATGTGTCATATTCTTGCTCACTTCTGAGTGGATCAGGAACCAGTGTCTTCTTTCGTTCTCAAAAAAGACTCCAGATTGGATAATAAATTTTATGGTCACCCTATATAGGCACAGAGCTCTTTTTAATGTCAGTATATACTATTTCTCAAACATTTCAGCTCTTGGGGTCAGTACTAAAATGTTCACAAACATACCTGTGTGCTCTTGTCTGCTGAGAGCGCTGAAGACCCACTCTGCTGAAGGACCTGCAATTGACGCTTAACAGTGACATTCTGAATTTCTTGTAGTGAAAAAGTGTTGGCAAGCTTTGACTGTTCTTCATAAAAGGCAGACCATTTGGCCCCAGCCTCATTCTGAAAGGACAAAAAGTAAATTGAAGTTGGACGGAAGATATAGTCCAAAGAACATCTGGTGAAACATCTACTATTTCCTGAGTGGCTTAGTCCTCTACTTTGCTGAAGGTCAAGGTTTAGGTTAAGAGTGGCCAGGCCACTCTCTTTCTGGCCCAGTTCCTAGTTTTCCCAAGGGTCCTGTCCCCAGAACTGGAAGCAAATTCTCACAGATAATGCACACTGTGAGGCCCTGATACTTAAGGCCTTAGTGCTGTGATGGGGGAAAATTGGCTAAAAATTCTAAGATGCATGATCTAAAAGGAGAACCCAGTAGAGCTCGGAGTGGACATAATGGGAATACAGTGTCTCCTGACCATGGGAACCATGAGAAATGAAAACCAGATCACAGTACATGCCAAGGTGTCATAACAGCACAGGGATTGTGATCTTAAATTTTGTTCTCAAACGAAAGCTTCCCAGAACATGTCATTTAGTAGACATGGTGATTTTCTACCAGCAAAAGAAATCAATAAGTAGATGATGATTCCAGGACACACCTGAGTGTTGATATTACAGGTGTGCACCATCATGCCCCACCTTCCTCCCATCTTGAATAGCAACGGAAAAATGGACTTCTCCAGACTTCTCCAGTGCAGTCTTCGCTCAATGTATAAATTCATTTCCACTTATCCAAAGCCAAAATGAGGGCTGTCAAAGTGGCTCAAGTGGTAGAGTCTAGGTAGGACCTAGCAAGCATAAGGCCCTGACTTCAATCTCCAGTACCCCCTCAAAAAGGAGGCTAAAATGAACAACTACTTTGTTCATCACACTGCTTTAGAAATACAAAAGAAGTAGCATTTGAGGCAAATAACAGTTTCATTACTGGAGTTTCATTCTGACTAGCTGTGTGACTTCAGACAAATTACTAAACTTCTTGCTACAGTTACCTTATCTGCAAAATAAGAGTAATAATAGGATTTACATCAAAAGATTGTTGTAAGGCTTATAAGAATTAATAAATAATAAAATGCTTGTCAGAGTGCCTGACAATTCTAGGCATTCAATAAATGTTATTTTCTTACTTATAGACAAAAAGTTCTTGCCCTTAATTTGCTTACAATTTTACCAGATGAACAAAATATGCATCCTGAATGTTTCATTAATAAAACATGAGTATATAATAATATATAAACTATGAGTAGGCTGATACATTTCTGTAATAAGAAAGGAGAAACTTACACAGGTCACATAGCTAGTATGAGGCCCAGCCCTCATAGAGGAGGTGAGACTTAAGACAAATCTTAAAGAAGGTAGGAGTTGGCTGGGTGTGGAATACTTTGCAAAATAATTTACCTCATTTGAAGTTCTTAACAACCCCATGAGATACAAAACTATCATATCACCATTTTTATATGTGCAGAAGGTGGCTTAGAGAAATAGCAGAGCTGGCAATCAACCACCAGCATTCAATTCTGGAGCCTGTGGCAGACAGACTCTAAGATTTTTCCCATGATGCCATCCTCTGGTTGCTGAACCCTTGTGTTATATCTTAATGAGTAAGAGCAGACTGACTTCTTCTAACCAACAGCGTATAGCAAAGGCACCAAGATGTACAGATTTGTTACGTAAGATTGTTAGTAGACCTCTTCCTTGCTAAATTTGATGCAGCAAAATGCCATGTTACGAGCTATCCTATTGAATTGATCACATGGCAAGGAAGTGAGTATGGCCTCCAGCTAACATAAACCAAGAACCAAGTTCATCAGCATACAAAGATCTGAATGTCAACACTAACCACCCCTAACTTGAAAGTGGATCCATCGCTACTCGAGCCTCAGATAAGACCACAGCTCTAGCCAGCACCTTGAGTGTCACTTTATGAGACTCAGAAACAGAAGTCCAGCTAAACCATGTCTGGACTCTTGACCCACCGAAACAGTGGGATAATAAATGTGTGTTGTTTTAAGCCACTAACCTTGTGGTAACTTTTTATACAATAGATAACTAGTGCAGGTCCCAAAGGCAGGACTCTAAGCATAATTGCACTGACCAGACCAAGAAATTTGCTTTTAGCTTGTGAGTATTAGGTAGTCACTGAGAGGTTTTGAGCAGGCATATAATATGATAGGAACCATGCATGGAAGTGACAAGGATGGAGATAAGAAAGAAAACAGTGGCAGTGAAAATGGAAAATAATTTCTCTCTTTATTGAATACTCACAACCCTCAGAAACTGCTTCTGTTTCCACATACAACAACCTTTTGAGGGACTTGTCATCATCTCCACCTCAAAAAATGAGGGAAGGCTAGCAGAGTGGCTCAAGTGGTAGAGCAACTGCCTAGCAAGCCTGAGGCCCTGGGTTCAAACTCCAGGACCACAAAAAAAAAATGAGGGAAATGAGGGACAAAGCCAGTCATTTTTTCCTAGGTCGCATAGCTAGTAACTGGAAGAACCAGGGAATCAAACCAGGTGTGTTTACCTCTAAAACTAATGTCCTGTGGATTGTATTTGACATGTCCTAGTCCTCTCTGTAGCATGCATGCATGGGAAGGAGTAAGCAAGGGGAAGAGCAATTTGCTGTACAGAGCAAACTGATCTATGCAGCCCACTCACCCATCAATCCCTGCCTTTCTTTCCCCAATCTAGGATAATTTATTGCCAAGTAAAATTTCTGGTACAACTTTAATGACAAATTATAGGAATAATTTTATTCTTGATCTATTTTGGAAAAACTTCACAATCCCTCAAATGCCTGAGTCTTAGAACAGTTCTTATACTATACACGTATGAATGTTGAGGCTATCTGATTTCATTTGATTTGTCACTACCACTTTACAAATGTAATTTATGCCACCAAAACATTACTTTATGTTGCCTTATGTTTTGGCCCCTAATGACATAGTATTCCTTCCCAAGCTATTCTTTTTAATATCATTTACAATTTATTCCATATCCTTACCCTAAGGCTCCTGAGCCTAAATAAAACAGCTTAGGTGTTATGCAGAGAGTCAAAGTCAGTTATGCATACCAATCAAATTACTTAGACGGCGGCTGATACCTGTGTCGTTTTAGAGCTGAATGGTGGATGAAATGAAACACATATATCCAGCAGTTTACATAGCTCCAGGGCTTGAAAGAAACTACTGCAGGTAAAAAATGGTGGCATTCCACACTACCTCTGTGCAAAGGCAGGAAAGAAGGAACTAAAACAGCAAAATTTTCTGCAGTCATACATTCAACACAACTGCAAGAAATTAAAACACTCTCTGATCTCATTCATAACTGTAGTGGATACCATATTCCTATCCTGTGAGTGGTCTTTGCAATTTCAAAGACTAGACGTATAAAAATTCTAAATTATATTTTTTCAATATTCAAAAATATATTCAACTCCGTTGTAGCCCAAACTAGATGTACAAATTAAGTACGACAATGTCATTATGCTTTTAAATGTTTTCACATGAGCTTTGTCTTAAGCTGTAGGTCTGGTGGTTTCTACCAAATTGTGATAATTTTATTTAAACAATTAAAATATTTCTATGATCAGTTGTTTCAGACTTAAAGAATTGACATCTCACTTTCTCTTTTTCTATAGCTCACCAGGCTATAATTTTAGCAACCTCTAAGTCATTTCTTTCCCTGTATATACAATAGTTTCCTGATGACAGAAGATGAAAATCTGGATAAAATCTTAGTATCCTTCCAGTCCTTGGAGCCCAACAAGCTCACGTCCCATATTCTGGGTATACAATAGCAGTTTAGAATTACCCTGCTCTGAGTTCACTGTGATTCTAGCCCTGGCAACAGAGGATAGGTTCAAGAATCAGGCATGCCTACAGGCCCTGGCAGTGAGGAGCTGAAACCCTAGAGATCACCCAAAGAATAAGTGTGGGCCTCCTGATCTCTCTTCACAGCTTCTGATAACTCACCAAGAAATATTTACAACACTCGCTTCAGCTGTATGGACAGGAGTTTGGTACAGCTGTAGTAGGTACTGCCAAATTCTAGAACACTGGAATCCTCTTGCTCTCTCCATGGAAAAATGGTCCAGAGACCTCCTATGTTGCTGGAGAACTTGTGACCTTGCTATTAAAAGTCAAACATGCCCTTTCTGAAATGACTTTTAGGAGGTCCCACTTTCTCCCCTATAACATTGAGTTTACCTTTGTACAAGTTAAGGTCAGACTTGGGTTGAATTAACAAAAAAGAAAGATTTTTATTATCTATTTGCTTAAACTCTTTTATTTATTCCATTTTATCTTCACAGTTAAGTTTATGGTTTGGCTTTCCTGCTGTTTACTAATGTTCTGATTAATATAACGAATTTGCTAATTTCCCATGTCCATACCCTTGGCGGAAGATTTACAAAGAATCCTATTTCAGAAAACAAACAACAATAAACTTGAAAGAAGGGGGCGGTGCATAAAAAAGCAATATCATTTTACTGAGAAGTTAATTACAGTTCAACTGGTGAATATTCAATCTGTATTTGTTGTAAGGCAAGGAGGGGATTTATTGTGTAGCACACAAGAGTTTAGTAATTAATTTCATTGAATTTCTGAATTATTTAGAAACCTGTTTTTGTTTTCAAATAAAATTTTTACATTTTAATTACTGCATCAACCTACTAGTGCAGAAGTGTATGTAAATAGAAAAATCATCTCTCTTTTTTTTTTTTTTTTTTTTTTTTTTTTCGGTGCTGGGGACCAAACTCAGGGCCTTACACTTGCCAGGCAAGCGCTCTTCCACTGAGCTAAATCCCCAACCCCGGCTTCATCTCTCTTATAAAACATGTTCAGCTATGTAGACAGTGGCGATGTTTCCAGCTTGATATATTAAAGTGATAGTGACCTTGATACAGCATAAATATCTGTCATGTCTTTGCAAATACTTACAGACCCAGTTTGGCTCTTCTCCATCATCTCCTCTTGGGGTTGATATGATTTTACTACCAGTTTTCATCTAAATCTATTGGGAAATAGGGTGACCTTGTTTTTATTTCTTGACCAGGAATTACTTAA